AACAGAGACAGTGATTCCCATTCCAATAATCCACTGAATTTCCATTCAGTGGAAATCCCATTGTCTCCTTTATGCTGGCAACAAGTTTTGAGGACTTCACCTGAAAGGTGCCCACAGGTCCCAAAGACTTCCATGGGAAGCAGGTTCCCAGCAGTCCAGCTCAGGCACAAGCTCCCTCCATACAAGAAGATCTCGTTTATTTTCACTCCCCAAGAAAACAAGATGTGCCATCAAGTGAGCCAAGAACAAACTCTATCACTGCTTTCCCAGCACAGTGTTCCAGTTCAGTGCCCTGTGAGGTCCATGTCTGAGGAACAGGCAAGATGCCAGTCAGTTCATTTAGACCATTTTTCCTCAAGAAGTGTAGACACCATAATTTAGTGCAATATTTATTACTCTAGAACTCTCTCCTCATAGACTGTCTTACACTGAGCTTTCTGTAAGGAGTAAATATAGTAACTGTTTCCATAATAATGTTAAAAATACCCCAACAGATTAAATACAACAGATGAAACAGGGCCATAAATACGTATGTCTAGCAACATGACCAAAATCACCCTTCTTCAAACTGGGCATTGGGCCATGAAAAGAAAGCTGCTAGCATTACAATTTCAGTGCTAAGCCTTAGGAGCAGCACAGAGCTGCAGGAACAGTCAGTGCAGTAATCATGCACAATATACCTAACCTGAGCTGCAGCCAGGGCCTCTAAGCTCCTGAGCCCCTGCCAAGGTGTGCCACTGACCCACAGCCAACAAATCACCATACAGCGTCACACCCCATTCCACTCATCTGTCTTGTGGGCTTTCCAGACAGTTGAGGCAGCATAAGATGGATTTAAATCTGTTTACAACTCAAGTGAGAAGTCTGAGAAAATGTAAGAATTATATTTTATTATCTGTTATTATCTCTGCTGTATTACATGACTTTTCACATTAACAGCTTGGTTTAGTTCCACTTCCTTGGAATCAACAACCACTGTAAGGTTTTTTCCTGACAGTAACAACAGCAGTAAAGAGGGTACTGGTTATAGCACTTCCAGAAGACTAACCAGGGCAAACTCCAGATCACACTGGGCACCACTGATGACCCCACAAAGTCCTTCTTTAACATGGCCATGAACCAAGTAAATGAGGGCAAGAAAGGCAGGAATAAGAAATCGATTAACTAAATACAGTCAATCAGAAGCTGAGCTACTAAGCAAACTCAGACCTAAACCCTAATTCACATAATAATGCAGCCCTTTGATAATCAGGTAATATCAAGCACACGGATGAGATTCAGTTTCAGCACTGTTTGTTTCATCAAAAGCATCTTCTCTTTCTGCCTGAAGTGAATGACTGGTCTAAAAAATCTGAACTCCATTTGAGTAGAAAAAGGAAACTTCCATTTTAGACCAGGTTTATTTAGTAAATACAGAGCAAAGGGAAGATCCTGATAGCAATAAATAAATTAATAAATAAAGCCCAAAACACAAGAACCCCCAGAGACCTATCAGTCATTGGAGTCCTTGTTGGAAGGGCTACACAGTCAGGAAGATTCCTGTGCAAAGAAAAGATCCTTACTAAAAACCTGTGACAGTCAAAACTCCTCTTCCAACACCTCTGAGGACAATGACAAGATCCTGGTTATGGTTTTCTTTGAAATTAATTTGGTGGGGATAAGCTGACACCACATGACTACTCTCAATTGTCATGCAATATTTGCTGCCATCAGTCCTCCAGAAAAGAAGCATTCAGATTAGGCACTTGGTCATCCAGAGCTTCCCGTATCAAGATACCTGCAGAGGCAATTCAAATCCAAAAGGCCCCACACATATATAACTCACTGGCATGGTGAGACTCTCTGCCTCTAGCTCCAATGAGAATCAATGAAGGACAGCCCATTGGTAAAGAAGAGAAAGTGGCAGAGGTGCAGAAGCAAATCCCATTGTAAGAGCAAAACATCTTTATCGTAGCTTGTGTCTTTAAATTTTATCTGTGCAAAAATAAATAATAACATGCTGACAAACTGGTTTAGCAGATGGTGTGGTTAACAGAAAAAGACCAACGCACTGCCTTCCTATAGCCACTTCTTTCAGGCTCAGAAAATTTACACTAAATTAGCCCATGAAGGATCTTTAGTAATGCAGAAATGATAAACAGCAAAGCAGCTGTTAAATGCTCCAAGACAAGAGGTTGGGTGGGGGACCTATGGGATGGATTAACTCATTCACCAGCTTGGAAGCTCAAGACTGAAAGAAAGTGAGAAGAAAGTAAGAAATGTATGTGTAGGGGAAGGAATGGGGACAAGAGGAATGCTGAACTATGCAGTCATGAGTTAAAGTAGGACCAAATACAACCTGGCTGCCATATCAGTTACCAGTGAGACAGCAGTGACCACCAGAAAGCTAAGCTCTGGCCATCTGGAATATATCTTCATATGAAATACAATTAATGTCCAATCATCTTCCCAGTGCTGAGAAGTGGATAGTGGGAAGGGAAGGGACAACACAAAACATTAAAGTTTTAGAAGGAATCAGCAGCATGAGAAAGAATGGAGTTGTCTGTACTGATTTTTCTGTGCAACTATTTTCTTCCTTCATTTGCCACTTCCAATTAAAATTAATAATTATTTCCAGGGGGAAAAAAAAAAGAAGAAAAGAACACATAAGAAACAGCTTAAAAGGGAATAAGCACTGTCAGATCTGAAACCTCTCATTTCTATGCATCTTTAGGGAGAAACACACAGGCTTTGCCCTCTCATGCAATTTCACTGCTTGGTTGTGAGTCATTATTTTAAAGTGACAACTAAAGACACCCCCTTCCCAAAACAAGTTACTTTTCAACTCTCACTGTGGGGTTTTCTCCCCCCATAAAAACCAAGAAAAATGGATCTGTTTTACTGATGTCAGTTTAAATTAAACAAACAAACAAATCATATTGAAATTAGTCAAAAATTCTTGAGGAAGTGAAAGCAAGGATTGTCTTGCAACAGTATTCCCAGACAAGGATTGCTTCAGCAGCCTCACAGGGTTAGCAAGAAATACAGATATCCATCTGTTTTAATTATAACTCCCAAACAGACCTCGGACCTTCTACCACCTCATGCAATGACTCATCTCCAACATGTCAAAAACTATGCACTACCTCAGGAAACTCTCTAAATACAACTTGGGACCACCATCTGCTTTTTTAGATACCTTGGGCCCCTTAGGCCTCAATTTTGTAGCATCTGAACTTTTCTTTTCAAGTCCTTCCCCTCCTCTAAGACCTACAGGCCCATAAATCCAGTAGCTTCTGTCCCCAGAGCAGTTGTGCCTGTTTTCCTGCAGCCTGGTGAGAACAGACAGGACTCAAGATAATTAAATAAAAACACAGGAACTTCATTATTTATTTTAAAGGAAAATGTGTTTTCTAGGAAGAAAGTCCTTTAGTTGGGCAAATCTGTAAGCTGTTTATCAGCTTAAACTCATTATCTGTCCATATGGTCTTAGCACTGTGGTTTAAAAAAAATGGGCATGCACTAGCTGATGAAATGTCATCTGCCCTTATGCCAGAAACTACTATTTTTTTCACTGACGTCAAATTAGGATCCTTGCCACAAGTGAAGGGCTACCATAAGCATAGTCATAATATTTTAATTATGAAAGGATCTTACAGAAGGCAGCAAGGAAGGCAGGGGCAATGCAAGAAAACCCATTCACAAAAATACAAACTCACTTCATTCACATTTTGCTCTAATTCTTTCTGTTTGGGGAGGTGGAGTGGAAAGAGAGCAACCCAGCATTTGGAAAAAAAAAAAAAAAAAAGCAAGGGAATGAGATGCTAAAGCCAATAAACACACATCAAAGCATGAGATGGCTCTGCTTCAACTGCCTACAGTATTCGACCTGGGATAGATTAAGGCAAGACAAAAGGTGCTATGAGGGGAAATACTGCCCCTACAGCAGGGCAGACCATCTCCCCATCTCCCTCACTTACTCAGCCCTAATAGCGAGACCCCAGCCAGCTCAGCTGCACTGTAAGAGGAAGGGGAACACGATAGGCCTAGCTTTGTAGAAACCCAAATTTGTCCCCCATCGTCTGCTGTTGTGATTTGAAGCCCTTCCCACTCCCCTGCTGAGCTGCTGCAGAGAAGCAGGAGCTGGGTTTATTGATTCTGTGAGTCACAATTAGCCGTGGGACACACGACCAAAGGTTTAGCACAGGACATTAAACCTGACTGAGCTGTCAACTCCGTTATTCCAAGGAGAAACAAATTGAAGTCACAGGAACAGATGTTTCTCATGTTTTATGAACTGCAATATTATTACTAGTTACAGACACAGTATCTGCCTTTTAAAACAGACCTGCAACGCTGTGCGTGTGAAATTATTTCAACTAACACACAGACAACTTGGCAAAGGACTTACAGATAGCATTTTCGTACTCACACAATGATTCCCGTTTCCCTTTTGCCCAGCCCCACCCTGAGAAGTATAATACATGTTAAAGCAGCCAAAAATGAGATCACGCCACGATAGAGTACTTTGTTGCCATCATCTGCAGCGAGGATGCAAACACTCTAACCCCTCTCCTCTTCTGTGAAAAACACACTCAGCCTCTTCTCGGTTTCCACTGTGGGGAAATTAAGTTGTTGGGATCGTTCTGAGTTTTAAGGGAGCCTGGAAACTGAAGACTGGTGTTCTTCCCAGGATGCCTTATCCTTACACCTCAGGGGCAGTAAAGGGATTTCCCCATAATTTACAAAGGAAATGTGAAACACCCTGCGAGCGCACACCACCCCCAAGCCCGTTCTGCTCCTCCGTACCGAGGAGCGAGCGGAGGGGCGGCACAGCACGGAGAAAGCCCTCTCGTGGAAAACACCCGCATCACCCACCCGAGCCCTGCCCTCGGAACCATCCCGGCCCCATCCCGACGAGCCTGGGCTGCCCAGGGCGCCGCTGGTCCCCGGCTCCCACCGCATTCCCGCGGGATGCGGGCGGACATCGTCCCTTTGCCAAGGAGCGACTCCGCGCTCACCTGCAAACCTCACACGGGTAAACTCACAACGCGAGCGACGTGTGGCACGGGTCCGCCTTGCAGAAAGGGTGGGAATTTTGTGTGGATTTTGCTGGCAGTCTGCAACATCTCAGAGAAGTTAAAGCTCTTCCTTTCTCCTCACCCCGCTACGCTTGAATTCGTGGCAACTGTATCACATGGTATTTTAGACTGAGCCAACAAAAGCTGTACCTCGGCCACAACAAATACAGAAACATTAACTGCCTTCCAAGGAGGGTCAAACATTCGAATCATTTTAACATACTATAAAAATACTTCTGTGAAAGCAGATGATAAAGAAGCGCATCTGTACATCATGCTACACAGTCGAATTTGAAAGATTCCCCCCAAATTACGAAAAAAGTAAAGAATGTACTCATTTCTCCAAATGACATCCCTATCGTTTGCTCTCGGTTTCTATACTTTCGTGACGGAACAACTACTGCTCCTTACAAAAACCACTGAGTATCAAAATAAGTATTTTACTGGTAGAATCCATCAAACGCTTGCATACATCCTGTTGAATTAAGACAACTCTTTAACAATTCCAACTTTTTACCCTCAAGCAAAAGTCCAAGGCAAGCCCATGGTCACAATGAGCATATACCCTGCCAGGCACACAACCATCTCCAGCACGCTTCTGCCCAACCAGCTTTGGTAGCCACTGGCTATTCAGTGAATTATGTGCCTAGAGTCTATTAACTGCGTCCGAATTTGCTCTTATTATAGAAATACAGGCAGTAATCAGGCCGATCTTACTAACTGCTGAGAAAAGTGCTAGAGAAAAAAAAACAACTGATTATCATACTTTACAGAAAACCACCCAAGTACAACACACATGAAAACGCTATTTATTCACTCACTATAACCTTTAAATACAAAAGTTACGATAAAACTTGAAGTGCCCAGTTCAGCTTACAAAACCCCCGTGTGGTACCTCGCTAACATGTTGCTGCAGCTATAAATCTCTATTAAAGAGCGGGCACTGACCCAGGGTAGCGGGATGGAAGATCAGCAAAGTGTGAAAGAGAAAATCCTTCCCAGCCCGGGCTGAAGCAAAAAACACGGGTAACTGTCCCACCTTCCTCATCCGAATTTTAGGGGTGGTGGCACACCCCAACACGCGACAGACGCAGCGCAGGGCACAGCCTCCGGGCTCCGCGGCTCCTCCGCTCGTCCTTACGGTAACAGGGATCCCGGAGGGAGGGAGGGGTGTCGGGCGGAGGCAACAGAATACACAAATACCGAGGACAGGCTCAGAGGCTCGCTCCCGGTGCCCGACCCCGGAGGGGTGCTACCAGCGGGGCGAGTTCAGCTGGCTCGGGCAAGCCGGGGCGCCCTCCCCCCGCTCCCGTGCCGGCGGTACTGGCGGGCGGGCTGGCTTCTCAGCCCCCAAAACTTGCACGCCCAGCACCCCGGGGAGTCACGGCGCTCCCGCACATCCTCCCCTCCCCGGAGGGAAGAGCGCAGCACCGGGCTAGGCGAGCCGCACCCCCGAGCGTCCCGGGGCAGCGGCAGGGCGGTGGGTGCCGAGCCCCGGCTGCCGAAAGGCTGCGCTCCCAGCCGGGCAGCGAGAGGGGAACCCCGCCCGTTACCTGGCGGCTCCTGCGGCAGCTCCCGCGGCGGCGGCTCCCGGGCACGGACCGGACACGGACCGGGCGGCGGCGGCTCCCGGGCACGGACCGAGCGGAGGCGGCGGCTCCCGGACACGGACCGGACACCGACCGGACACGGACCGGGCACGGACGGAGCGGCGGCGGCTCCCGGCAGCGCTGGGCTCCCACTGCCGTGCTCGCCCCCGTGCCCGGCAGCCGCGGAGCGCCGGAGCCGCCAGCGCAGCCGGCTCCACCTCCCGGCCGTGCCCCCTCCTCCGCCCCCGCCCGGCCCGGCCCCGGCCCCTCCGCCCGCTCTCCGCCTCGCCGCCCGTGCCTCTCGCCTGCCTTCGCCGCACAACTTCGCGGGTGCCCTCGGCTGGAGCCGCCAAGGGCAGCCCGGGGTGACTCGTCCCTCTCGTACCGTGCCTCGGCCGGGCGGGGTGCGGGGATCGCAGCCCGGCAAGGGCGGCACAGGGACAGCTGAACCTGGGACCTGAGAGCAGCCCTGAGCCCGCCGAGATCGCAGCAGGCACCCGGAGTAGGAGAGCTGCCTGCTCCCCGTCTGCACGGTGCCCCCGGTAACATCCCACGGGTTCTGATGCACCGGGGGGATCCTTGGGACGCCAAAGGAGGAGAGCAGGGAGGTGGGAGAGAGGTCTGTCTCAGTGAGAGCTGCTGAAATGCCTTCGAAGATCTGCCGGAGAAACTTCAAAGGATGACACTGCGGGACTGGGAAGCCTTTCCAAAATGCATACCAAACCGAAAGAAGAGCCCATGTTTTCCACACGGGAAAAGCCTAAGGAAATAAGGCTTGTGCCGTTGTGCTGTGTGTGCATACAAATAACTTCTGAGCCAGTTAAAAATTTGACGGCTATAAATTCCATAAAAATAGATAACTGTGTAGAAGAGGTCATCTTTTTTACTGCTCTTGCACATAGAGCGACTGTATATCAAGTCCAACAGCATCTGACAAGGGAATCCCACAAGGGGGTTCATTTCAATTATCCCCTAGGAAAACTACTCTTCACTGTTCCTAATACTAACAAAGTCCTTACTGGGTCGGAGTGAAAGAAACTGAGACAGTAAAAAGAGTGCAGAAGTAAGGCTGTTACTCTCAGTATCAAGCAAAAGCTCAGGATTAGTAGATTGGACTTAATGTCCTTATATAACAACAGAGAGAACAATCCTGCAAGGGCCAGATCATGCAAGTGATATGCAGATGTGTCCCGGTGCTGATAAGAAGTCCTGCTCATTTCATGATGGTTTGTAAGATGAGGGATGAAGATTTGGACCCTCAAAGCTTAGTAGAAGAACAAGAGACAACAGGAATGTCTAACAGTGCAACGCAAAGGAAAAATAGATGTGCCAGCATCTCTGCATAATCTCTGCTAATGTGTCATGTATCTGGTAATGAACACTTACAAGGCTCCCCAGGTGCAGATATTTGTTGGCATTGGCTTTCTTTTATTTCCTAATATGAAATAAAAATAGGGAGATACACACAGAATTTAACAGTTATGGTCCCAAATCTATTTCTGTGTAATAGCAAAACTAGATTACACAACCAGACTGCATTTGAAGCATATGTTTTGTTATACTCTATTGCTTAAGACAGGCAATCATTTCAGGGTCTGATATTTTCTTGTAATATTTGGGCCCATGTTTTTCCATTTCTGTTTTGCTATTCATTTATTTGTGTCACACAGCATGATCCTAGCTCTGCTTGGTCTTTGTGGCAGAGTAGGGGATTTCCATTTCTTTATTAAGCACAGTTTGACACGAGGTAATAGCCTTGTTCCTTATTTGATTCCTTTGCAAAGGACTCAGAGTGCTATTTTCCAGGAGGCTGGCTTGTCATACCCCTTAAGCAGCAGATCATAGCTCTTTCAGGCAAAGATTACATTTTTGCTCTGCAGACCTGCCAAACTGGGTCCATTGGTGCTCCCCCTGCACTGTCCATAGCAATCTCACACACGTACCCCTGCCCCTGCACTGTCCAGGACTGTTGCAGGACCCCACATGCCCAGCAATTTTGCTGTACCAGTAAGTGAATCATGAAAGTGTGTGTGAATCTGCCTGGCTGCCCAACACTTACCCTTGTTTTAGGGCCTAATGCACAGGTCTCAGGTGGAGGGTTTCCAGTAAACTGACTGGGCTTAGTCCTGATGGAAACAACACCATTTTAAACAGCCTCAGATTCTACAGACTAGATCCTCTCCTCATCAGGGACACTCTTGGCATTTTTTCCAGCAGCCGCCACCCCCTTCCCCTCCAGTGACATCATTATTCTGATATTTTGGGGAAAAAAAAGTGCAGGGTGATGTATCTAAAGACTTGTATGTGTTTTCTGTTTTCCATCCTGATTCTATGAAACTGTTTTGTAAATGAACAAAAGTCAACTATATGTGACCCCAGCTTTCAAATCTTCCACATGCTAGCATAGACACAATAGTTCTCTTACATGCTCAACTGTGCAATTTAAGGGGCCAGTATGGAAAATTAGCTTCCCGAGTTCATAGTGCTTTCACCATCATGAAGGAATTGCTTTGTGAATCCCAGCCAGCACTGAATTGAGTTTTGCATTTAAAGCTGGGGTTTACAATCTTTGCTATGTGTAAAGAATATAGTATATCCTCTGTGAACTTAAAGCATAACAACCTCAAATAAAGCCAATTTTATGACAAATCAACATGTGAGAGGGCCGTTTTACTTGTTTTCTGATAAATAGGTTATTGAATTGAAATCAGAACAAGAAAAGAGTTCCATGGTTTAGCCCAGAACACTAAAGGCACTTTCTCCCATTCCAGAAGTGCCTGGAGCTGCAGCTCTCTCACTGTCTGAAGGACCTGTCCCTTGAATATTACATCATATGTATCACACTCCAAATCTCCTCTCTGTTACACTTCTGATAGGCTCGAGTTTTCAGAAGCAGAAACTGCAATACTGGGAAACCATGAACAAATCGTGGCAGATTTTGAGATAAATTTCACTCCACAGAACTCACCCATTACTTACAAATGCTTTCTTCTCTGTGCTTCACATCTTAGTTCTCACCTTCACAGTTTCCCTGTTCCTTCCTTCCCTGGCCTCCCCAGGTTTCCTCCCATTTCCTTTGCCTTCAGACTGCTCTCTTTCTTCTCCTATTATTCTCTCTCAGTATTTCTACTAATGCCTTCCTCAATTTGCCGTGAAGGCAGATAAGGCAGGAATACAACCCTGATCCAGCTTGGCTGTGATTCCTAGAGCTGGACTGACACACAGCCCAGCTCATTGCCTAGACAGATGGGCAGAAGGAAACTCTCTGGCATCTGCATGCTGGAACCTGAATACCAGTCTATTTCCAGATAACCATAGCACATTCCAGGAGCAATCTGTGCTCAGTAGAAATCACACGGTGTTATTAACTCTGCCATGAAACTGAATGGCACTTCTGAGAGCACAAAACAAACAAGGTCTCGGCCACAAAGAGCTTAGGATGACAAACTGACTGTCTGAACCTGATCACCTGCTCCCAGATAAGGACAGCAAAGTAAGAGATCTTGTTTTTCTGAAATGTCAAGCACTTACAGTGCTGACTGAAGTTACACTGATCAGTATGTTCTCTCATCTGCTATCAGACTGCTTTTCCAGGGCCCCTCCATCAGGCTTGGGAAAACAGCATGAGGGGGCAGTTGATGTACTGGTAGTGAGAGGTTTGTTCAAATTTCATTATTAAAATCATAATTAAAACCTTGCCAGTGTATTTTTCAACCCAGTTTTGCTTTCCCAGGCTCAGCTGGGAAAACTGAAGCTAAATTGTTTATGAGTTGGTTTCTTTGTAAATATCAGCATTTCCCAATCATTTTCATCCAAGCAAGAGCTAACATTTTGGAGAAAAAAAATATCACAGGCCCTCCCTTTGCCATGTTGTTTTTGTTTTTGTTTTTGTTTCTTAAATCAAGAACTAAGCTGCATTTTGAATATTCATTTACAGATTTATTTCCCCCAGCTTTGTTTTCATATTCACTAGATCACATGGTAACATACATGCCTGTTTTTCTGAAGTGAAAAAACATGTTTTGTCATTATTTCACACATCACCTCCTCATGTCTTTCTGACCCACAGACCACAAGATTGGAAGCAGGCTTCCAGGGCAAGAGACATATTTTTCTTAAGATTATCCAACCCATGAACAACATTTTATACTCACTGAGATACTCAAATAGGTAGACATAATTTTCTTAAAAGCTTTCATGCTCACCTCCCTCTTTCCTTGTCTTTGAAGTTGTAAGATTACACAAAGGAACTGGCAGCAGTGCCTAAACCCAAAACTGTAGCAGCCATGACTGAGCAAACCCTTGGACTCTGCCCAGAAAAATCTAAATTAAGAGAATTCTTTGTAATAATTTTAATATGTAGCATTGAAGGGATACTTTAAAGGCAAAATGAACATGTTTAATATGACAGCCACTTCCATGGCTTACAGCAGGTAAAGCTGTGTAGTACTGGAAAAAAAGAAACAAACCAGAAAATGTCCTGTCTCCATTTATTTTTTTTTTCCCAGAAGTTTTCTAAAATGGAGATTAAACCAAAGCATCAAGATTTCCTACTACATATATTTTGAGAAAATTCTCGGCATTCGTATTTCCTCTGAAATGGGCGGCTGAGATTTTCCTGTACTCCTTG